AAAAAAAAAACGATATGACATAAAGTAAAAAGAAAGGATTTGAATGAAACGAAAGCTAAAAAAAAAGTAATAAAAAAAAATGTTACAACAATTATTACTAATCATAATAAAAAAAAGAGCAAAAAAAAAAGAAAAAAAAAAGATTCCAAATAAAATGATAAATATTAATTGGATTCTGCAAATGGGCATGATTCGTTTTCACCATGAATTTTTGTACATTCATATACTCTGTGTTGAATATTTGCATCCAACTGCTCTGTTGTATCCGATTCGCAAAGATCTGCCAATGTACACGGTAATTTATCTAAACGATAAAATTGATACAGTAAACCACGAGCCTGAAATAAAATTTATAAGCAATTATTACAAAAAAAATTTAATTATCAAATTATATGTTAAAATGAATATAAGAATTTGAAACGAACTTACAAATTATAATTTAATTACAATGATACACGCGCGATAAAAAGGAAAATATTTGATGTTTCGGAATTTTTTAAAAGTCATTTCTATTTTAAATTTTAAATTTCAAAAAGTTTGATTCATTCATTCAGATTTACAAATAATAATTATGATATTCATGTGCAAAAAAAAAAAAAATAATTGAATTGCATTATTTGTGAATACCGATAACATTTTTTTTTTCAATTATTGCATGATATCTGAAATCAAATAATTACCTTTTTCAAAACAACAGTACCATCTAAATGCATAGCAAATGAATTAAAATACAATAAAATTTCATCATTTGGAAGACATTGCTCAATAATATCATTTCCATAAATGGAAATAATTGCAACCGCAATGAATAAATGAAAATATGATGTTCGATAATGAGTCCAGCATGCTTCCCAAATATTTAATAGATCATTTTCCGGAAATTCATGCTAAAATAATTCAGTAATTTGATTGAAATTTAAATCTAAATTAGTTCAATCAGCAAATCAATAGAAATCTAAATCTAAATTAGTCAAATTAGCGAAAAAAAGACCATCGATTGTTAGAGATAAGTGAAAAATAATGAATAAAATTAAAAACCTTATAACATAATAATATCCATCGATGGACAAACATTAATTCCAATGCATCTGAACCCAAATTAGCAATATGCATTAAAAAATCTGGTACAAATAATTTCAATA